GCCACCCAGCTAGCTGTGTCTAATTTCTTGACCCATGAAAGCTGAGAGATAATAAAAGTTTGTTATTTTAAGCCACTAAGTATTGAGGTGATCTGTTATGCAGCAATAGATAATGAATTATGTACAGTCAAACAATAATAAGGGGGAAAAAAAAAACTATTGATGCAGGCAATAACATGGATGAAACCAGGCACAGAAGAATACTTAAAATGTTTCCATTTATACAACATTATTGAATGAGTAAAACCTATTTATAGTGGTAGAAATCAGATTGCTGATTTCCAGGAATGAAGTTTGTCGGGATACTGACTACAAAGGGGCATGACTTTCTGGAGTAATGGAAATATTCTAGATCATAAATGCAGTAGTCATTGTGTGGGAGTATACATTTGTCAATATTCACCAATCACTTGAAATGTACTCTTCATACAATTTATTATATGTAAATTATATCTCTAAAAGTTGTTTTTAAAAAGTGACCAAAACAAATACAACACAAAGTGAGTCTAATGCTTCTGCAAAACAAAGCAATCATTTTAGACTGTAAAAGGCTATACAACAACCCTTTAATTGTCATAGCTCTGTAGAAGTTTTATACTAGATGGGTATTCCATGCTGATTGAGTGAAAACCACAATGAAATCTTGAATAATTTCATGGAATGGTAGGATAAAAAAACACAGGACTAGTTATAGAAACTGGGAAATCACTGAGCTAATTCATATGATAGGATTCTTAACCCTGATCTTGTTTATCATGAGGTCATTAGGAGACCCTGGATCTCACCATCACTATCCTTGCTATCATGTTATGATTCTTGGAAAGGTGTCTTAGATCATATTCATGTTTTAAAAAAAGAGGGAAAATGTGTAAGTTTTAAAGCAGTTTTATTATAAAATATAACCCATAAACATTATAAATGTATAGGTTAATGAAATAGTGTAAAGTTAACACTCAGGTAACCATAATACAGATAAATAAATAGAACTTTTTAAGCCACCCCGGAAGCCCCTTTGTGTGCATCATTTTAATTGAAGCCTCCCCTTTCCCCCCTCTGAAAGTAACCACTATCCTGATTTTGTAGTAATTGTTTCCTTTCATTAGTTTATGGTTTTATCTTCTAAGTGTGCATAAAGGTACACTATAGTTTGGTCTTGCCCTTTAAATATTTTTATATTTTAATTATTTTTCTTTATTGATTTTAGAGTGAGAGGGAGGGAGAGGGAGAGAGAGATAGAAACATTGATGGGAGAGAACATTGATTGGCCACTTCCTGCATGCCCCCCACTGGGGATTTAGCCTGCAATCTGGGCCTGTGCCCTGACCGGGAATTGAACAGGTGACCTCTTGGTGCATGGGTTGAAGCTCAACCACTGAGCCACACCTGCCAGGGTATTTTTATATTTTTAAAGTCTCTATTAATGTACAGTTTTTTTTCTCCATCTCTTTCTTCTTCTTAAAAATTATCTGTGAAAGAGCTTGGGTTGTTTAACTTGTAGACCACAGTCAGGATTTTGCTAACTGCCTCCTTATGTCCAACCTGATTCTCTTTAATTCCTGCAAATTGGCAACTATATCCAGGAGATTAAAATATTGATACCAACAGTTCATTCTTATCCAGATGATATCATTTGGTGACTATTCATCTATGGGGGCCAACTTGACTTCTAAGTCTTCTGTTGATAGTTTATAGTCATTTTTGAGTGAGATCCTGTGCTCTTAATATTAATTAACCCAACCTGCTTTATAATTTGTCTAATCACTCTGTCTTAAAATTTCAGAGCCTTGTCTGACTCTCACCCTTTCCATAGCCAAATAAGCCTCCATCTTTCTTCTCTGTGATGGCTGAATTTGTCATCCTGGTTTAGGCCTTTATGACCTTACATCTGAAGGATTGAGGCAGGTGTTTCTCCCTCCATCCTCTTCCTCTTTCAATTTATGAGCATGGTATATGTCTACACTTAATTTGGTCATTAATGTTTCTCAAAAGTTTTAGTGTAGAGGTCTTGCAAGCATTTAGATTTATTCCTAGATATTTAAATCAACTTTATTGGTGTCTAATTTACACACATTTTAACTATATAGATCAATGATTTCAACAAATGTATTCATCAGTGGACTTATTACCCTATCAAGATACAGAACATTTCCTTCAGCTGAGAAAGTTCTGTTATGCCCTCTTTAAAGTCAGAAAAATCCCACCCTTCAAGCCAGGCAAACACTGATTTGATTAAATTTATATCAAGCTAAGTTAGTTTTGGCTCTTTTAGAACTTTATATAAATGGAATCATGCAGAATGCACACTTTTGTGCCTGATATCTTTCCCTGAGTATATTATTTTTTTTTGAGATTCATCTGTGTTATTGTTTATACCAGTAGTTTGTTCCTTTTTATTGCATAATGTATGACTACATCAAAATGTGTTTTTCCATTCACTTGCTCATGAAAATTTAGATTGGATCCATTTGGGGGCTATCATGAATGAAATTGCTATGAACATTCCGGTACAAATCTGTTGGAAGAAACATATTTTAAATTCTGTTTGGGAAATATTTCTGAGTAAAATGTCTGGGACATGTGGTAATTATAAGTTTAACTTTTCAAGACACTGTCAAGTCTTTCAAAGTGGTTGAACTTCTCACCAGCAATGAATGAGAATTCCACTTGTTCCATATCCTCAAATATACTTGGGATCGTCAGACTTTTTTAATTTTAGCAATTTGATGGGTGTATTGTAATATTTAATTCTGTTTTTTCCCCCACATTTCCCTGGTGATTAATGAAGTTGAACATCCTTCCATGAGTTCATTGACAATTTGTACATGATTTTTGTGAAATGTTTGTTCAAATCTTTTGATAATTTTTATTGCATTGTTTGCCTTCTTATTTTGAAGTTTAGGAGTTCTTTATATATCTTCTGGTTACAGACTTTTGTCAGTTACACGTGATGCAAATATTTTCTCCCAGCTTGCCATTTCATTTTCTTTTTTAAAAAATTATTTTATTAATTTTTTTAGAGAGAGAGAGATAGGAACATCGATGTAAGAGAGGAACATCGATCAGCTGCCTCCTGCATGCCCTCCACTGGGGATCAAGCCCACAACCTGGACATGTGCCCTGACTGGGAATCAAATCAGGACTTCTCAGTCCACAGGATGACACTTAATCCACTGAGCCACACAGGCTGGGCCCACTTGGTTTTCTTAATCATGTCTTTCAAAAAGCAGAACTTTTTTTTTAAAGAATAGATAATTTATTATTTTAAGCTCAATAAATGTGTGCTAGCTTAGTAAATTATTACTATTTTTGAATTTATCTTTATTGTTGAAAGTATTACAAATGGCCCTCCTTTTTTCCCCCCATTTACCCCCTTCTTCCCCACACTATTGTCTGTGTCCATTGGTTATGCATATATACACATAAGTTCTTTGGTTTATATCTTTCTGCACCCCCCACTTCCCTCTGAGTTTTGTCAGTCTGTTCCCTACTTCCATGTCTCTGGGTCTATTTTGTTTCTCAGTTTATTTTGTTCATTAGATTCCACAAATAAGTGCGTTCATGTGATACTTGTCTTTCTCTGACTGGCTTATTTAGCTCAGCATAATCCTCTCCAGGTCCCTCCATGCCATCTCAAAGGGATTTTGAATTTTGTTAAGATCAATGTCTATGTACTCTATTATCACACTACCTTTATTAGCACATCTTAAGTCTGAAAACCAGATAATGCAATTTTCCAGATTTGCAGGTTTTTTTTCTCAAAACTATTTTGTCTATTCTAGGTCTTTTGAATTTCCATATAAACTTGGAGGTAAGTTTGTCAAGTTATACAAAGATGCCATCTGCAATTTTGATTTTGATCAATTTGTAGAGAATTGATATCTTAACAGTACTGAATTTTCTGATCCAGGACCATGGTTTTTTACATTCATTTTGATCTTTAGTTTCTTTCAGTAGGGCTTTGTTGTTTTCAGTGTATAGGTTTTCTTAAATGTATTTCCTAGTATTTCACGTTTTGGAAGCTATCATAAATTTTATAAACACACACTATTTTCATTTCCATTTATTCATTACCAGCATACAGGAATACAGTTGAATTTTTGTGTATCTATAATTGCATCCCTGCTAAATTAAATTATTAGTTATAAAATAGGTTTATTGTACACCCATTAAGGATTCTCTAAATATATGATCATGAGATTTGCCAATAAAGACATATTTATTGCTTTTTGAACCAGAAATTTGTAAAGAAGTTTTTGTTGTTTTAGTTCTGAAAATGCAGCAAGGCTCTCTGCATTACACACTCATTTGTTCACCTCATGGAAGGGCCTCATGTATCCAGGGGTTCTGCACAAGTGGAGTAATCAACTGCCCTGTCCTTTTCCAAGTTCTAAAAGAGTAGATGCCTGTAGAGTCAATACTTGTATGACTTAGCAGAAGAGACAGACAAGTGGTTGGGCTTTTTTCTAACTTTAATGCTGTTTTTCAAATAAAGTAACTTTATTATTTCCTTTTTATAAAAGTATATTGATTTTTTTTGTTTAACATAAAAAGAGCAGAACACAGGAATATTAAGCATTTTTAAAAATCCACTCTCTCGGGTTCTTTTCCTGAAACATTTCTCCTACACGCATTTCAGTGGAGAGAAAATGGAGAGCACTGGTAGCAGAAAGGACAGCAGGTGGAAGGAGGCGTGTCCTGGGAGCTTAGGAAGGAAAAGGCAAGTCCTCAGAGAGGCAGAGGGAATGGACAACAGTCCCCTGAAAAGATACTGCCCTTTGCTGGCAGCAGAGAAAAGCCCAGGACTACACAAAGAAGGGACGGCGACAGGACCCAAGCGGACGCTGTTAAAAGGGACGCGGGGGCGGGGGCAGGGGCAGGGGCGGGTTGCAGGCTCCAGGCTCTGCGTGACCCCGCGCAGCAGGAGGGGGCGGGGCCGGGGCGGGGCCGCTCCTGTGACGAAGGCGTCACGTGACTGCCCTACATAGACCTGCGCGCGCCAGGCTCGAGCGCCAGACCCGGCGATCCCTGCATCCTTCCCGCTCGCTGCTCCAGGTGGCCCTGAGGGCGCACAGGCCAGGGGAGCCCCCAGCAAAGGAGGCGGAGGGAGAGCAGGTAAGGGACTGGGAGCGGCTCCCTGGGCGTGGTGTGCAGAGTGGGCCTGGCTGGCGGAGCCCTCCGGGGGATCGGGCTGCCCCGGGGCGAAGCCACGCAGGGACCGCAGCTCCCACGCCGCGGCCCCGGGTGCGTCTGCAGAAAACGCTGAGCTTTTCCCGGGGGAGGGCTGGATGGCCCAAGGCGACGACCCTTCGGAAACACCTGCCTCCCGGCCCCCCGCCCCGCCCCCATCTTTCTCGGTGTGGAAAATGGTGGTCAGCGCGGGGCCGGGGCGGCTGGGGCGGGAGGCAGGGGGCGTGGGCGTGTGGGTTCAGGGCGGGCGGCGCGGCTGGGCGGGGGTCCGGGAAGGGTGGGCGCCGAGCCTGGGCTGCAGCGTCCCCCGCCCCCCGCCCGGCCCTCTGCAGGTCTTCGGGTCCCAGTGTCGCGGCGGCGCACTCGCGGCGAGAATCGGGAGGAGGAGCAGACAGCAAGGATAGGCCCAGGTGGGTGCGGGGTGCAGGGGTGGGGGGAGGGGAACGAGTGGAAAGCCCTGAGACCCTGAATCCTTACCCCCACCCCCACCCCGTCCTCCATTTTGGTGCCTGCAGAGGCCTGGGCTTGGATCGCAGGGAAAATGGTGGGTTTGGGGCGAGAGAGGAGAGGGGAGGGGAGTCAGAGGGAGGGGGCAGGGCTGGGACTGGAGGCCCCCTAGAGGGCGTAGGGAGCCTCTCAGGTGGGAAAAGTGCAATTTAAAAGGCCTTTGAAATCCAGGGCTCTGAATCGTGAAAGGTGCATAGTAGGGCCTCTGTCCTCGGTGCTGATTAGTTCACCAATAAAATAGTCCCTCTATCTCTTGTCTCCTAGGAGCAATGGCGTCCAAAGAGGAACAAGCAGTAAAAAATCTCAACATGGAAAATGGCCAACGGGAAAATGAAAAAACGGATGAAAAGGAGCAAGATGCTACTAAAGGAGAGCCCTTGGCCCTCCCTTTGGAAGCTGATGAATATTGTGTGCCTAGAGGAAATCGTCGACGGTTCCGTGCTAGGCAGCCCATCCTGCAGTATAGGTGGGATGGGGGTCAGAGGCTTGGAGAGCCACAGGCGAGGATGAGACAAGAGAATATGGAAAGGATTGGGGAGGAGATGAGACAGCTGATGGAAAAGCTGAGGGGAAAGCAGTTAAGTCATAGTCTGCGGGCAGTTAGCACTGACCCCCCTCACCATGACCATCATGATGAGTTTTGCCTTATGCCTTGAATCCTGATGTTTTTTCTGAAGTTAATGGGGAGACACACCTTCCTAAATCGTTTGTGATGTACCTTGTTGTAAATCTTTTGGTGTTACTTGTTTCCTGTGGGTCTCCTATTACCAGCTTCTAATTGAATGTTGTGTTTTGACCCAATTTGTAAGTTTCTGTCAGCAGGGGAGTTTTACCTATTGCATGGAAAGATACTCATTACATATTGTGAAGTTAATAAAGCAGTTTAAAAAAATCATTTTCTATTTTTTACTTCAAATCGTGTATTTTATATATAAATACAATCAAACCATACTATACATAAAGTAAAAACTTAAAGTGTTCATTTCTATATGGTAGAATTATGAATAGTTCTATATTTTCTTCTCAAAACTGAACACGTATTTACCATATGATAAAAGCAATATGAACACTTAACTAAATCTGTGTCAGAATCTCAGTTTTAGCTTACCTCTGGATCTCTTTAATAAAGAGACATATCTCTTTAAAGTTCATTTTATTTATCAAGATGAAGATAATCACCTCCCAGAGCGGCTGTGAGTACTTGTTAATGCAGTAAGTTTGTGAGCTTTTTGCAAGCTTTTCCCACTGGAATGTACGTGACCTAACCCTTTATAGATATTTTCTTGAGCTATGTGGGGGATTTCTTAAAGCAGATGTCCTATACTCACAAGCCCCCTGAGCTAAGGAGTACATACTTTTATTTCTCTGCTGCTTTGCCCCATTCCCATTATCTACTGGTACTGGTGTTCAGGAATCCTCAAGGTGAGAATGTCCCACTGATTTCTCTGGAACTACCAATGAATTGAATCCTCATGCTATACTATGAGTGTGGAGAAATCCCCTCTCCATGCTTAACATGGGAAGAGCTTTTCTGTCTGGTTCTCTTTCCTTAGGTATTCTCTCCTAAGAAACTTCCCTAGTTCATTAGACTACAAGATATAGGAGGCAACAGCGCTCACTTTCAATTACAAAAGTCCTCGTAGTAGCCCCCTGAAACCTGTGAATATAAAGAATTACACTGAATTGGATGTCAGGAGATGATGTCAAGTGAATTGGGTGGGCACCCAAATGTGGGTATTTTTATGAGAAGTCCAACAGAGGACTGGGTTTAAGTGTCCCAGTAGAACTTGGGAAATAAAGCTGCCTTGGAGTGTGCTAAGCAGGTTAAAAACATGTTATGTATGGAAACTTTTGTGGACACAAACTTAGAAGTGAGGATTCTAAAACAAGTTGGCAAGCCAGACCATGAGCCAAATCTGGCTGCTGCTGCTGCTGCTGCTGCTGCTGCTTATTATTTTGGCCAATGAGCTAAGAATAAATTTTACATATTTAATGGTTGAAAAAAATTAAGACTACCTTGTGACATATAAAACTATAAAATTCAAAATTTGGTATCCATAAGTAAAGTTTTATTAGAATACAGCCATAGTTATTAGTTTACATATTGTCTTTGGCTGGTTTTGCATTACAGTGGCAGAGTTGAATAGGTGCCAAAGAAACAGTATGGCATGCCTGCAAAGCCTGCCTATTTATTATCTGGCCCTAACAGAAAAAGTTTGCCATCCCCTGCTCTAAACTAGATCATCACAACAGCACTTATGAAACCAATGGGAAAAGTGAATACACAGGTGAAAATGTGTAACGCAGCAAACCCAGACATGAATCAGAAGCTTAAGTAATTCCAAAGTCCTTTTTTCAGGTACTTGAGACACAGGTACATTCGTGCAAGACAGGAGTTTATAAAGAGAAAAGCTAGAGTTAAAAGGAAAACTGATGAACAAAGAGGCTTATGCCCTGCCAGACTTCTTACTCTTGGTGGCCAATATTTGCACCAGCTTCTATGACAAACAGAAACATTCTGTCTCCATTGGCTTAAGGATATTTAGCAGTTCCTTCATGAAAAGAAACTGGAAGCTCACGTGTGAACCCATAGCATATCATGATAGAAGGTTAGACATGCATATGCCCAGGAAAAAAAATGCACATTTCTTCCGTGTATAGGCAGATCCAAGTTGCCCTGTCAGTCTCAGAGAAGGGTGGGTTTAAGATTATAGTTTTGGAGAGAAAGCCCTTTGCTAAACAGTTTGCCTTTCATTGTTTGGATCTCAAGGGTTATGTGAGGGAGTAGTATGTGAGTGGTCAGGCTCCACGTAAAATGCTCAGGCAACAACCAACCATCAGAAGGTAAGCAAAAGGAGTTGTAAGAAAGATCTCTATCCTTTGAGAAGACGTGGAGGGACCTGGAAAGTATTATCCTAAGCGAAACAAGCCAAACAGAGAAAGACAAGTATCATATGATCTCACTTATTTGTGGAATATAATGAACATAACAGTCTGAGGAATTTGGTAGTCGCAGAGACGTGGAAGTGGAGTACAGACTGACAATCCCCAGAAGAGGGGGTGGTGGGGGAGAGATAAACCACAGAACTTATATGCATGTATGCATGAACAAAGGTCATGGACAACAAAGCTGGGGACTGGGTGGGGAGGGAGGGGAACGGGGGAATCAATGGGGGAAAAAGGAGAAACATCTGTAACAAAAATAAATTAATTAATTAGTAAAAAAAAAAAAAAAAAAAAGTGAGCAAAAGGCAGTAAGGGAACATGGCATGAGGTTCCTTAGGAGGAACAGCCATATCTAAGGTTCTGGCTGCATTTGCCTATTTATATCATTTCTATGTGTTATGTGGTGAGCTGCCTTTTCTCCCTTAGAATACCCATTCTCAAAAGGGACAAATTCTTCCCATAAATGCCTAAAAATAGCGAAGAGAAGGCAGTGAACCCTGGTTCTTAAAGACAAAAGATGTTCAAAAGAGAAGTTTGAGATACAGATATGGTTTTGGTCATTGGGGTTTTAGCACATCCTATACACCTAGTAGCGGTTTAATGAATGAAAAACTAAACAAGTGTGGATATAATGGTATTCAGCAAATGATAAACAGATATACATATTTGAATCTTATGTATTCTAACAAAATTGAGTTAATAATGCAGATAGCATCTCACAATGAATAAAAAGAATTACTGTTTTTATTTTTTTCTAAAAATCATTCAAGACCATTGAAGGAAATTCAGAAAATAGACTTAAGAGCCACCTTGTGACCAAAGAAAGCAGTGCAGTTTGAACTTTCTAGTCAAATCAGAGCGGAGATTATACACACGCAGTGGGCTGGCTCTTCCAGGAAGGCCAGATAGCATAGGCAATGCTCTTTGGTTAGAAGTAAAATAAAGCCTTCATGATTAACCATCATTTAAAACATCAAGCCACATTTATGCTTCAAATAAAAATAGAGTAACAGGGACTGGATTTAACTCCCTAATTTAAACAACTACAACCCGGACAAAATTCATGGAAAAAGTTTTCAGTTATTGAACATTAGTGAAGGACAAAGTTCCCTGACAGTGGGGAAACAAATAATGTGAGCCTTGTGATTTGCCCCCAGATTACTGTGTACTGTAGGATTTATAATGTATGTGGAAATAAAATGCATGTCAGTAATAGCACAAAGGCCTGGAGACGGGGAATAAAAGCACATCATTTTAAAGTTTTTATTCTATACATTAACATCACTTGAAGGTAGATTCTGAATGCTAAAAATGTATATTATAAACCTCAAAATAATAATGGAAAATGTTGTAGCTAATAAGCCAACATAAGAGATAAAATGGAATCTTTAATATTTTCAATAAAAAAATGTTAGAGGAAAAAGCGAACAAAGAACAGATCGAACTAATGGAAACAAACAAAAAGATGGTTGAGTTAAACACAAACATATTAATATTGCTAATCACATTTATGTAAATGGTTTACACATTTTGGTTATAAAGCAGAGATTATCAGATCGTATAGAAAAGGAAGACACAAATATACACTGTCTATAAAAACCTTATTTTATTTAATTAAATAATTAATTTTTGTTACAGATGTTTCTCCTTTTTCCTCATTGATACCCTTCTTCCTGATCATATCCACCCTTCACAGTATTGGTGTCTATGTCCATTGGTTATGCATATATGCACCCTTCACAGTATTTGTGTCTATGTCCATTGGTTATGCTTATATGCATATAAGTTCTTTGGTTTATCTCTCCCTCACCCCTACCTTCCTCTGAGGTTTATTAGTCTAATACCGACTTCCCTGTCTCTGGATCTATTTTGGAGAACCCTATTTTAAATTTAAAGATGCAAATAATTATAAGTACAACAATGGAAAAAGATGGACAATCTTAACACCAATCAAAATAAATCTTGACTATCAAAGCAAAGAATAATATCAGGGATATTATGGTTATAGAAAGTCACTGCATACTTAAATTTTTTTTTCTTTATTGATTTTAGAGAGAGAGGAAGTGAGAGGGAGAGAGAGAGAGAGAAACATTGATGAGAGAGAACATAGATTGGCCGCCTCCTGCATGCCCCCACTGGGGATTGGGCCCACAACCTGGGCAGGTGTCCTGACCGGGAATCAAACCTGCGACCTCTTGTTTCATGGGTCAATGCTCAACTACTGAGCCCCACTGGCTGGACTTATTGCATACTTTTAAGTGGTAAGTTTGTCAAGAGGACATAACAATCCTAAACATTCACATATTACAGTGCTTCAAAATAGATGGAGCACAAACTGATAGAATTGCAGAGAGAAACAGACAAGTCCGCAATTATATTCAGAGATTTCAACACTCTTTCTAAAAAAAAAATAGAACAAGTAGACAGAAAATCAGCGGGTATATATAAGACTTGAACAACACTATGAATCAACATATCTAGTTGACAATTATAGAACTTGCCAGTAGAATGATATGTTTCACATGCATATGGAACATATACCAAGGTAATCTATATTCAGGGTCATAAAAAAAGTCTCAATAATGTTTACAGCACTCAAATAATAAAATGTATGTTCTCTCAGCACAGTGGAATTAAATGAGAAACTAATAACAGAAAAATGTCTGGAATATCCCCAAGTATTTAAAGGAACTTCAAATAACACATGGATAAATAATCCAAAGAAGAATTCAAAAGTGAAATTATAAAGTACTTTGAACTGAGTCAAAATAAAAACTCAACATATGATAATTTGTGGGATGTAGCAAAAGAAGTATTCAAGGGGAAATTTATAGCACTCAACATATATATTAAATTAGAAGAAAGCCTATAGCTTAAATAAATGGAAATTTTATTTAAAATCCATTCTCCAAAGAAAACTAGGTCAAGATGGTTTTACTGGGATTTCTA